ATAGGGCATCGCCAAAGCTACAGATGCGACCGAGAGCAACGACTCCTCGGCCAACCTCGTAAATTCAGATCACTGTCATGATCAATTGCCTTTACCTACCTCGCTCGTTTACGTCTGTCGCGATAAATCAAACCTAGCAGTAAATAGTCTTTATGAAACTGCGACATTAGAGAATTACCGTGAAGGAGTTATCACCGCGTTACTTTTTGGGGGGACGTCTTGTTTCGTGAGGTGTCTCTGGGGGGAGGCTTTTTTAGGAATATATATGTGCTTAGTGTCTCCGTTGGGAGCCATAAAGAGTATTGGAGTGTGTCATCTGTTGAGGATACGAGAGATGGTATGTGTGAGCGGTGGGAGAGAGGATAAGAGCTCTCTCTCTCTCTCTCTCTCTCTCTCTCTCTCTCTCTCTCTCTCTCTCTCTCTCTCTCTCTCTCTCTCTCTCTCTCTCTCTCTCTCTCTCTCTCTCTCTCTCTCTCTCTCTCTCTCTCTCTCTCTCTCCCGTGCTGTGCAACACATTCCAATTAACGGAAATATATGCGAGGTATGCAAATATTTTAAGCTTATTAGAAATTCATTATAAAGAACTGAATGTATCAATTTAGGGGCTATGAAGAGATTTTTTTATAGCAGTTGGTGAATATGATATAGAAGTCGGTGAATATAATACAGTAGCTGGTGAATATAATACAGCAGCTGATGCTGTTAGGTAAAACAGTTGTATTTTTTTACGGAGTGGCAAATGAGGAGAACGTGCTGGATTATGAGGAGAAAATACTTCCCTCAGTATGACTATAGCACTTGGGAGGATTATGAGGGCAGGGACTTGCGAGATGTTGGACCCCTGCACGTCCAGTTGGACTATAGGGGATCGAACGCCGACTCTGCAAGAAGCGAGGCCGTCGTTGTACCGTCATGCCCAAGGGTATGGACGAAAGAGAAAGACACAAAGTACAAATGCACAGAGAAAATAGAAAACACACACACACACACACACACACACTTATATATATATATATATATATATATATATATATATATATATATATATATATATATATATATAGAGAGAGAGAGAGAGAGAGAGAGAGAGAGAGAGAGAGAGAGAGAGAGAGAGAGAGAGAGAGAGAGAGAGAGAGAGAGAGAGAGAGAGAGAGAGAGAGAGAGAGAGAGAGAGACAGACAGACAGACAGACAGGCAGAGACAGAAAGAAGCAGAGAAACAGAAAAACTTCATCTCGGAAGCCGTATAGTGTGATTTTTCCAGCTCCACTTTAATGCTGTGCTGGAGTGTTCCAGAGGCACTGATTCCAAACTTTGACTTGGTCTCGTTCCCGAAAATGTGCAAAATCCACCAGATAACTGGAATGGAAAGTTGTTGTTGTTGCCTTATTGAGCAGTTAGGTTCTCAAGAAGGAAGCCACCCTGGAAACACAAACCGAAACTGTCGTAATTTTCCGCTTGTTACAACTTGTAATAAAGTTGTTACATCTTGGCTTAACGTGTTTATGACGTATTAGAACGTTGTTACAACTTGCTATATTGTTTGTTATAACTGGTTAGGAGGTGTTAAAACTTGTTCGAACGTTGTACCAACGTCGTAGTTTCGGTGTGTGTTTGGCGGGCAGGCATCAATGGTTCCAAACACGGATCATAAATGCAAAAAAAAAAGACTATGCATAAAAGTATAGGCCTATCATTGGGTAAACACGTGTGAGTGACATGTGTGTTGACACATGTTGACAGATATTTGAATTTGTTGAATAGTTAGGCCAAACTGAGGGTAGGTTAGATGGTTAGGTTGTTTTATGTAGTTATTGCAACCTTTTCCTCCGGCTAGGCTCGTTAAAGCAGCGGCCGTTCCCTTTCCCAAGACGTATTCGTTAATCTTAACGTAATGTTTATTAAAAATATGTTCTCATATATAAATTAATATTATCATACAGTTCTATATATAGTTAGGCATACGTTAAAGTATGTTAAGTATTTGGGTTCTGTTTGCGATTATTTATATTTTCAGGGTTTTTTTATTAACAAGCATAGGTATACACATCAATGTGCTACTACACTATTCTGTATGAAAGATTACACAATGTAGATCAAAAACCAGCTACGAGCTCATCCAACATCACCCACCTGATGGAGGCTGTGGGTGATGGCAGCCTCCACCAACTGTGGTGGAGGCTGACTCCATACACAGTTTCAAATGTAGTTATGATAGAGCCCAGTAGGCTCAGGAATCTGTACACCAGTTGATTGACAGTTGAGAGGCGGGACCAAAGAGCCAAAGCTCAACCCCAGCAAGCACAATTAGGTGAGTACCTCACAGGGCGGTCAGTCAGTCAGTCAGGAGAGAACTTGAAATGTAAAGTTGATCTATTAGCCTCCACTAGCAAAATCTGTAAGTGGGTGAAGCATATAAAGAGGTGGGATTCGAGCAGAGGACGAGAACGAACCACTGCTCGAGAATAGTGCACACCTCATCAGTTGTCTGGTGTGTGTAAGCTGCTTTTTTTTCATAAACAAAAAGGGGCAGAGGGGTTTTGGCTGCTGGATTAACCTTTTGGCCTTTTGTTTATGAGGACAGACTGCTGCTTGAAAGGAGTCATTTCTGCTGTGGTTCTCTCGAACTCATTCTGAGACGGATCACCGATTCTGGAGGAATAATTTAATAACAAGAATATAGTGACACGAAAGGTAAAGGAGAATAGTGACAGGAAAGACAGGGAGAAACTAATTACTGTACGTAATTTTGATAATCTGAGGACCAAATGTCGAGAACAGGAAACAAATGGGACAGTAGTTTGGCAATATTTCGGTGCGGATAATTAAGATAGGTGGGATAATTTAAGTACTGGGTGAAACAATTTAGAAGTTGGTTGAAACTTGAAACAGCTCATTACAGATGGCGACAACTTTAACACAGGATGAAGCAAGTTAGCACAAGTCGCGAGAACTGCAGGTAAAGTCGAGACAGTTCGTTGCGGATGAAGATATCTTCATTCTAGTTGAGATTCTGCGGAACATTCTGAGAAAAGCCGAAGGAGCTCATTAGTGGTCGAGACAGTTCAACAGAAACTGTAGAATTATAATGAGGCAATTCAGCGCGATATTATTTATTTCTAACAACCTTTAGTTACAATAAAAGGGGTTTAGTCATCAGTAAGCGCTGTTGTAGGTTAGGCTACCAAGGCTAGTAGCCTCTGTAATGAGTTAGGCTAGTTATGGGGTTCGTAGGGTCATCCTAGTCACTATTACTAGGATGTACTAGTGACATCCTGTCACTGGTACCCGAAGCTAAGGACTCACAAATGTGGGGTTCACGGTTCGAGTCAGCTAGAGCCCGAGTAAATGGGGTGGGTGTCCGTTCCTCTCTATGGACCGACGCTCCCAGTCCTTGGAAAAGAAATGATTGATTAACCAAATCAATCCTCAATCCGTGGATTAAATATAAATAAAATAATATGAAATATACAATTGAAGACACAGGAAAACATTAATATTTAATTTTAGTAAATGAAAATCAGATATTAAATAATGCAATTAATAAAAATACACAAGGAAATTACAATTACGTGATAAATAAATCAGATCATCATAGGAACAGGGGTAAGGCTTGAGGCTGGTAGCACCCAGGACGTTAGTTAAGTCTATTCCTCTACCGTTCCAATGATTTTCTAATTAATATTACACAAATAAGGGAAACAATTACGTCGAATGCTTTAGTCTCCCCTTAAAGCGAACGAGCATTTCTGCAGAGATTGTATACAAGTAATACTGATGTATACAAACTATTTGGTCCATAATGTATTCCTGTATCCAACTGGAAATACAGACATTTTGTATTTCAAAAATAGCAAACCTTTATATGCAGTCGTCTTCTAGTTTTCAAATTTAACAACACAAATCGGACGAGGAACATTGGATAATCCGAAATATGTATATAATGAACCGTCGGTCCTCATTTCAGTCCTGGCTGGGGAAAAAAATCCTTTTTCGGTCACGTGTCTTATAATAGACCGAGTTGCAGGAATTCGGTCCTCTACATCTTACATAATAGAACAAGTAAGAAAGGCGAGGCTACCAATAATCGACTCGTAATGAATCTAAAGGTGAGGACAGTTTTAGGAAAGCGGCAACTTACTTTCAACTCCTCAGTAGTGGGTATGACCTCAGAGAAGACGCCCTAAACAGATAGCTACGTAATGCAGCTAAAAAATATTTTGAGACTGTTGTCGTATAGGAGGAAGGAGAAAAAGCAGCGTTATTGTATGTACAGTGTGGCTCAAGGACCTGCCCGAGCCGTAATTGGCTGTTAGAGAAGCAATTTTGGCCCTAATTGGACTGTTGTTGACACGTTATCACTAGCTTCAGCCCCTTTTATCGTGGTGAATATTCCTTGACTGATTGTTAATGGGCGGTTATTTCAATTCTGCTCTTGGAGGAAACTGAATGTAAATAGAGTTGTCGTGTTTGGCACCATTGGTCTTATAGTTCCCTGGTCTCAGTTTTTGGTCTTTACTTTGTCGAAGGTCTTGCTTGGTGTGTTGCTGGGGTCGTAGTGAATAGCAAAAATGGTAAATTATACGTATATATATATTCAGGGTGTACTTATCTATTTGTCGGTACTATCTAGTGAAGGTTAATAGATTGGTTATCATCTTGTTTATTAAAGAGAATATACGATTTACTTTCAACAATAAGAGGGGGGGAATGTCTTTGAAATCCTATACAGAGATTTTTTCTGAAAAAATCTCATAACCAGAAATAGGTATTATTTTCTGTTTTCGAGATTCAGGGGGATTAAACTAAATATGAAATAGGCTTATAAACCGTAGCATAATGAAAGCCATTCACTAAGATGGAGGAGAATGTTTCTGTTTTTCTCCCTTAAAACTCTCACTTTTCTAGCTTTAATGCCCTCACTTTTCTCGCTTAATACTGTCACTTTTCTCACTTAATGCTCTCACTTGTCTTGCTTATACTCTCACTTTTCTTGCTTACTTTTCTCGCTTATATTCTCACTTTTCTCGTCTATACTCTCACTTTTCTTGCTTATACTCTCACTTTTCTTGCTTATATTCTCACTTTTCTTGCTTATACTCTCACTTTTCTTGCTTATACTCTCACTTTTCTTGCTTATACTCTCACTTTTCTTGCTTATACTCTCACTTTTCTCGCTTATACTCTCACTTTTCTTGCTTATACTCTCACTTTTCTTGCTTATACTCTCACTTTTCTTGCTTATACTCTCACTTTTCTCGCTTATACTCTCACTTTTCTCGCTTATACTCTCACTTTTTTCACTTAATAATCCCTTTTCTCATTTAATACTCTCTTTCTACTCTTAATATTCGCACTTTTCTCAACACTCTCGCTTTCTTTGCCTAATACTCTTACATTCCTCGCTTAATACTCTCATCTCTCTGCTTCATAGATTGCCTGTCTGCATCCCCACCGGGACCATAGCACCTCTCCCCACCTCTTTCATCTCTCTCCCCTCTCCTCTCCCCAGCATCACTTCTTATCTCTCTCTCTCTTCTCCCTCTGTCTCCTCCTTTCATCACCCTCTCCTCCCTTATCGCCTGCTCTTCCCATCTCCCCTCAAGGATAATGTATGTAAATTACAATCACCTCAACGACAGCTGAATTGGTCGTTTCTGGACGAGAATTGTGGAGCTGAGAAGTAGAGGGAGAGATGGGTGGAGATTGTGGGAGGCTGGGAGAGATGCGGGGGAGGAAGTTGGGAGTGATTGGGGGATTGGAGGAAGTTATTAGGCTTCGCAACTCATCCTATGCGTAAACATAACGCCATCCTGCATAAAATAACAGCATCTAGCTGCTATAGAGGGAACGTACAAATATGTACTGTTGCCACCCATTACTTGTTCACGTTTTGTACCAATGGAATTCTAAAAGGATTAACAAAGAGTAAATGAGTAACAGTGAACCTAACCCAACCTGCCACAGGTCTAACTTATAACATAGGCAAGTTTACACGTAATTTAGTACATATATGGACTATACAAGGCCTAGGACAGGTTGGGTTTGGTTGCTGCTTTCGTTGATAGATCAAGACTACTTTGTTTGGGTCAAATTTATTTGGGTGGACTTACTTTGAGTGGGCTTTGTCTGGGTGGAGTTTTTAAAAATGAATTTGGGTGCAAAAGTCCTTATTTTGTGATGCAATTTATAGTAACTATAGATAGTCATTTGTGGATGGCTGGTTGAATACCACCATAGCTAGCTGTGTTGTTCATCCTGTCGCTAGTATCGGGACGCAGCTATGTTGTTCATCCTGTCATTGTTATTTTATTTTACCATTTCAATACTCTCCCATTTCATGCACCTAGACTTTCCCATCACCCTCCTATCCTCCTTCCTCCTCTCTCTCCTTCCCTCCCTCGCTCTCTCTCTCTCCCTCACTCCCTCGCTCCCTCCCTCCCTCGCTCTCTCCCTCCCTCACTCACCACTGACACCGCCGCCGAACAGGATAAACAGATAGTAGCTGATTAGACATTGGTGGGAAAAGCTTCACCTGTGTCTCCACACCTGCGTAAGATGTGGAGAGACACCTTCCAGAGCTCCACACCTGCGTGAGGCTACAGCTGACGTGTCTCCACACCTGCATGAGGTAACAGCTCGTCCCTGTGATAGTTCAGTGTGTGTGAGGCCTTTGCTAATAGACTGCAGGTGTGTTATATTTGGTGTCTAATGATGGTTCACAAAACAGTTGCCGCAGTGCGGTATAAAAGCTCATTGTGATTAAACTTTTATCTGAATTGTTTCAGGGATTTATATAACTTATTTTTAAATATCATAAACCATAATTTCCTTTCCCAGCGCTCGATTCATGCTATGATTTATACACTTGGCAACTGCAAGTTGACAGCATTCAACAAATTGTAAATATTTAAGGTGAATCTCCAAAGAGGACTGTAAGAATGGCCTTCCATTCCTTGTACTCATCTGTACCCCTTGTACTGCTTGTACTCATCTGTACCCCTTGTACTGCTTGTACTCATCTGTACCCCTTGTACTGCTTGTACTCATCTGTACCCCTTGTACTGCTTGTACTCATCTGTACCCCTTGTACTGCTTGTACTCATCTGTACCCCTTGTACTGCTTGTACTCATCTGTACCCCTTGTACTGCTTGTACTCATCTGTACCCCTTGTACTGCTTGTACTCAGAGGCTTACATGTGGTGAAACTCGAAAAAGTTCGGAATTTTCATTTCATTTTCCTAGTGGATAATTACGCTTATGCGAATCAGTCTCATATTATCCACTTTCATTCACCAAATAAACAATATTGGATATTTACATTCTCGAAAGAAACTTAATACAAGTCTAAGTTGAGAAACTGTCTGGATTGTACTTTTTCGTATATTGTATTATTATTTTTCACTCGAGTGTGTCATCTAGAGTGTGTGTGTGTTAGAGTGTGCGAATGAGTTTGTGAGTGGGCAGAATGGGAGATAACAAATTTAAAATGGATGAGTATGCTGGTGGTGGCGGCTTGGTCGTGGACCGGGCCGCGGGGACGCTAAGCCACGGAATCATTGCAAGGTAAGGCAAGGAGGTTGGGGTGAGGGCGTCTGATGATTATGATAAGAGCGAGGCTAAATGCGTTAGTAGAGAGGACGAGGCGGCGGGAGGCAGACATGGCGGGCGTTCGGAGCGTGCTGGGGCGTATCCTCTGTCTGGTAGTGTGCCTTACGCCAGGTACGTTCCACCTTCTGGTACAATTAACGCCTGGTAAGGTCAACTAACTCTTGGTACACTCGCCCAGGGCCTGGCCTAGTCAACCATCTCCTGTTACTTTATTTCCATTATCATCACGGTGAGCGGTGCCCCTTGAGTGCTTGCTGAAATGTCATGAATTTTGTGGCATCGAATAGGAAAGACGAGCCGACGGCTTGTCAATGGTCGTCCTCTTTTTCTTGATAAATATTTTCCATACCGTAGGAAAAAGGCCCTTTTTAGGGGCGGTAATGTTTACGAAATAAATAGAAGCTCGTGTACGACTCCTTTATTGCTCGTATAGCCTTTTAATGTTCGTAAATATGATGCTTCGAGATGACCTAAGATGCAGTAGTCAGGTGTCACTTGGCTTCTGCTACAGGTGTCACAAGGCTCCTGTTGCAGGTGTTGTGTTGGTCCTGCCCCGATTTGGTTTACACCAAATGTGTGTTGCATCGATTCTGTATAAGGTGTCCTCTTCTCTCTCTCTCTCTCTCTCTTCTGCTGTTATTGCTACAATGTGAATGCAGTTTCGTTGCACTGCATGCCTTTGCCCGTTGTCTGCTGTCGTCACCTAGAGTCTGCTTGATCCAGTAATATGATATGCAGAGAAATGAAGCCGCAGCACTTCATTTTGAGTGAAAGATGGTGATTAAAAAATGTTCAGTGTGGCCAAGCTGAACCAGTCGGTTGGCCTAGCCACCTGATCATTCATTAATTGCTTACAAAACAAACTTTAATTCTCGCTGAAAAAAAAAATGTAATCCAGATTTCCATTTACTTTCCCTGCAACATTTGTAGCAGATGTTCCCTTCCATATATGTGGCAGTTGTTCCCTGCCACATGTGTGTCAAATGTTCTCTGATTCAAGTGTCAGATGTGCTCTGCTCTAGGTGTGTCAGGTGTTCCCAGGCATAGGTATTTCAGGCGCTTCCTGGCACCTGTAACAGGCACTAGGTTAGGTCCGGGCAATTTAGTACATCAGTTAAGTAACGTTGTGACCGATCGATAGGTTGGTCTGCCCTGCTACAGATGTTTCAGCTGCCCTCTGCTCCAGATGTCTCAGATTCTCCTTGATATAGATGTTACAGGTTCTTCCTGCTACAAGTGTTTCATGCGGTGCTTTACTACAGACACTAATTCTACAGACACTAATTCCCTGTTTGGCCAGGTCTGGCGCAGAACATCACGCAATTCGCCTACGACTACGCCCCCTACCTGCGCTTCGACAGCAAGGTAAGCACTCTAACCTCCATTTCCTTACCTGATCTCCATTACGACCACTCGACGCTGAATGCCAGTAATAGTCTATGTCTCTTTATGCCCGTTTTCTCTATTTGCCACACCATAAAAAATGCAACTATTTTTGCCTAACCTGGGGCCAAATTCACGAAGCAGTTACGAAAGTAATTACGAACGTGTACATCTTTCCTCAATCTTTGACGACTTTGGTTACATTTATTAAACAGTTTATAAGCATGAAAACATGCCAATCAAGTTTTGTTATTGTTATAAACAGCCTCCTGGTGCTTCGGAGCTCATTAACTGCTTAATAATTGTATACAAACTCGCCAAAGATTCAGAAAAGATGTGCAGGTTCGTAAGTGCTTGCGTAAGTGGTTTAGTGAATCTGGCCCCAGGTTCGTAAGTGCTTGCGTAACTTCTTCGTGAATCTGGCCCCAGAAATTTTCAAACCCAAGCAACCCACCTAACTCGTCAAGGCCGTGGGCCAAAAAACGTCTATATTATGGTGTTTTAGTTTATACTAATACAGTTTATCTATTATAGCCTCAGGTGTATTAGTTTACATCTGGTTTATGAAGGCTCTACTCTTTTAGTCTACCCTTGGGTATAGGCTCATGACCACTGAATAATAATCCCGTTGATGGGGACAGAAAACCTGTGCTTAGGCTTTACAAATTCTTGTTAGGCCTACTTCTGACCGTCCGCTGGATGCAGCCTACAACTACTGACGAACTCTCTGGCAGGTATTTACTGCTAGGTGAACAGAGACATCAGATGAAAGGAACTGTGCCCAGCCGTTTCTATCCTGCTCGATGAGTGAACACGGGTCCCTCGGTTGTGAGTCGAGGGTGAAGACCACTGTGCTACAGGTTGGTCTTACTTATCGGTATGAACATGGTGGATGTTTACAATAGTTGGCTGCGTTACTTTTGCGATACCTTGCGTTGGTTTCGGGAATCAGCGTGCCATCGGCCCAGTCGCTGACCAGGCCAGACTCGAACATATGACAACCATTCGTTAAAACAATAACATGTTACACAGCTCAAATAATCTGTCTTCAGGCTAGGCTCGTTAAAGCAGCAGCCAACACAGAAGACGCATTCATACATTTTAATGAATTGTGAATTAAAAATAGTTTGCTCATACATAAATTAAGGCTGGGTTTAGTGTTTAGGTCTGGGTAGTTATTGGCCTTTGAAGCACGTTGGTGAAGTATTCACAGCATCGGGAATCGAACAGGGGTCGTCAGCAGAGCATTGTACGAAAAATGTTCGAACGTTATCAGTTTTGAGTCGTTCCTCATTGATAAATAGGGAGTGTGGAGGCTGTATTAACGAACATTTGGCCCTTTTGTTGATGAGGACGAGTTGCATCACACCGCATGTCCTAAAAAATAAATGCATTATCATCAGAAACCCCCCCCCCCTCATATCTCAGGGGGGGGGTTATCTCAAGATAACCCCCCTCCCCTCAAATCACCTGGATAGTTATCTTGGTTCTACGTGATGGTCCGAAAGCATATTATGGTTCCAGTAATTGTTTACATGTAAACTGGCAAATGAACCTATGTCGTCAGCAGAGTATTTTCTGAAGTTATAATTATAATAGATGTCGTTGATTTAAAAAAAAATGCTGAACACGTTTTCTTTGAAAAATTTCGTTTTCTGTCAACGAAATTCATGGGTAGTCTGAAACAGTTTTCGAATTCCACATTTCACATCGCCTATAAACCTTAACTAAAGTATCTTTAACCTAACCTAATCATAGATAAAGATAATAGCACAAATTACGTAGTCGTTCCCAATTCATTTCCTTGAGGGGATCTCCTCTCTGAGGACAGATTGTTTAAGTCACACCTTGCACTCAAAATATTCTCAAATAGTAAACAAATCCACAAGTTCTCAAATAGTGCTTTCACTCACTTCCAGTAATCGAATAGCGCGTCTTTAAATGCTACATCCACACATTATAAATACATATAATTGCCAAAGGAAACAAAACACTTAAATTTATTCTTTCAGGCTTGATAAATGCTTAGTTGGGTCGTGTAGAACAGTGGTCTACGTCCTCGTCTCACAATCGATTCCTGGGGTTCAATCCCCGGACGGGACAGAAATGATTGAGCACGTTTCCTTTCATCTGGTGCCTCTCTTCGCCTCGCAGAAAAAAACAGGTACCCATGAGTTAGGAAACTGTTGTGGGCAGCATCCTGGCAACTTCGACAAGCCTAGATACAGGCTTCCTGTCCCGGACAACGGGTATTTTACCACTGGGTGGGTTGTTTTCCTTCAGGCGGGCTCGGGGGAGCGGTGCTTCCCGCAAGCGGCTGCGGAGTACTACGAGGCGCGGCTGGCGGGGGACTGGTCCCGCAAGTGTAACACTAACTACACCTCTCTGGAGGCCGGGGAGGTGCCCACCTACTGGCACGCCCTCACCTGCGGATACCACCTGCACATAGGTGAGTGCCGGACCCCGTCTCTGGCCTGTGGCCCAACCGCTCTCACTATCTTACTTTATGTGGTGAAGACTTTGTTGATGACTGTGGCGAGGTGTGGGACTGACATAGGAGAGAGAGTGGAGACCATCTTGCTGAGTGTTGTTCCTCCCCGCAGCCTACTGGAACTTCTACGGCTACAACCACAACTGTGACTGTTGCTCCGGCGAGAGAGACGCTTGGTGGGAGTCTATTGTCATCAAGGTCAGCCTCTAATGTGTCTCAGTCAAGGTCAGCCTCTAATGTGTCTCAGTCAAGGTCAGCCTCTAATGTGTCTCAGTCAAGGTCAGCCTCTAATGTGTCTCAGTCAAGGTCAGCCTCTAATGTGTCTCAGTCAAGGTCAGCCTCTAATGTGTCCCAGTCAAGGTCAGCCTCTAATGTGTCTCAGTCAAGGTCAGCCTCTAATGTGTCTCAGTCAAGGTCAGCCTCTAATGTGTCACAGTCAAGGTCAGCCTCTAATGTGTCACAGTCAAGGTCAGCCTCTAATGTGTCACAGTCAAGGTCAGCCTCTAATGTGTCCCAGTCAAGGTCAGCCTCTAATGTGTCTCAGTCAAGGTCAGCCTCTAATGTGTCCCAGTCAAGGTCAGCCTCTAATGTGTCACAGTCAAGGCCTAATGTGTCAAGAAACAAAAGCCATTAACCAGCAGTTGACAGGTGTGTGATGGCTGCAGGTTCGCGACTGGGAGCTGAGCCCACACCTGCACGAGGTCATGTTTGGTCAGAAGAAAGGTTGGTACACACGGATCCCGGGGCACTATGAGACGCAAGGCACCAGTCACCCTGTCGCTTACGTGGGCAAGAACAACCACGGCGCCTACCATGACGACGGTGGCACTGGCTCCTGTTGCTACTATGAAGACTACCGCAACCCAGGTGATTAGCGCTCCTAGCTATGTGGCAACCCAGGTGACTAGCGCTCCTAGCTATGTGGCAACCCAGGTGATTAGCGCTCCTAGCTATGTGGCAACCCAGGTGACTAGCGCTCCTAGCTATGTGGCAACCCAGGTGACTAGCGCTCCTAGCTATGTGGCAACCCAGGTGACTAGCGCTCCTGGTTATGTGGCAACCCAGCTATGTGGCAACCCAGGTGATTAGCGCTCCTAGCTATGTGGCAACCCAGGTGACTAGCTCCTAGCTATGTGGCAACCCAGGTGACTAGCGCTCCTAGCTATGTGGCAACCCAGGTGACTAGCGCTCCTAGCTATGTGGCAACCCAGGTGACTAGCGCTCCTAGCTATGTGGCAACCCAGGTGTAGCGCTCCTAGCTACCCAGGTGTAGCGCTCCTAGCTATGTGGCAACCCAGGTGACTAGCGCTCCTAGCTATGTGGCAACCCAGGTGACTAGCGCTCCTAGCTATGTGGCAACCCAGGTGACTAGCGCTCCTAGCTATGTGGCAACCCAGGTGACTAGTGCTCCTAGCTATGTGGCAACCCAGGTGACTAGCGCTCCTAGCTATGTGGCAACCCAGGTGACTAGCGCTCCTAGCTATGTGGCAACCCAGGTGACTAGTGCTCCTAGCTATGTGGCAACCCAGGTGATTAGCGCTCCTAGCTACGTGGCAACCCAGGTGACTAGCGCTCCTAGCTATGTGGCAACCCAGGTGACTAGCGCTCCTAGCTATGTGGCAACCCAGGTGACTAGCGCTCCTAGCTATGTGGCAACCCAGGTGACTAGCGCTCCTAGCTATGTGGCAACCCAGGTGACTAGCGCTCCTAGCTATGTGGCAACCCAGGTGACTAGCGCTCCTAGCTATGTGGCAACCCAGGTGATTAGCGCACCTAGCTATGTGGCAACCCAGGTGACTAGTGCTCCTAGCTATATGTGGCAACCCAGGTGACTAGTGCTCCTAGCTATGTGGCAACCCAGGTGACTAGCGCTCCTAGCTATGTAGCAACCCAGGTGACTAGTGCTCCTAGCTATGTGGCAACCCAGGTGACTAGCGCTCCTAGCTATGTGGCAACCCAGGTGACTAGCGCTCCTAGCTATGTGGCAACCCAGGTGACTAGCGCTCCTAGCTATGTGGCAACCCAGGTGACTAGCGCTCCTAGCTATGTGGCAACCCAGGTGATTAGCGCTCCTAGCTATGTGGCAACCCAGGTGATTAGCGCTCCTAGCTATGTGGCAACCCAGGTGACTAGTGCTCCTAGCTATGTGGCAACCCAGGTGACTAGTGCTCCTAGCTATGTGGCAACCCAGGTGACTACCGCTCCTAGCTATGTGGCAACCCAGGTGACTAGTGCTCCTAGCTATGTGGCAACCCAGGAGATTAGCGCTCCTAGCTATGTGGCAACCCAGGTGATTAGCGCTCCTAGCTATGTGGCAACCCAGGTGACTAGTGCTCCTAGCTATGTGGCAACCCAGGTGACTAGCGCTCCTAGCTATGTGGCAACCCAGGTGATTAGCGCTCCTAGCTATGTGGCAACCCAGGTGATTAGCGCTCCTAGCTATGTGGCAACCCAGGTGACTAGTGCTGCTAGCTATGTGGCAACCCAGGTGACTAGCGCTCCTAGCTATGTGGCAACCCAGGTGACTAGCGCTCCTAGCTATGTGGCAACCCAGGTGACTAGCGCTCCTAGCTA